GCATCATAATGCAGTGGGCTTACTATAAACAATATAGAGTGTGTGGGTGTGGTAGGTATCGTGTGTGTGACAAGCAGGTACACCAAGTTAGTTTTCGTGGTGGTTTTTAAAAAAACCGTTTTTCGTTCGACGAACTGGTAAAGCCAGCCAACAACACTAGCCAGGCTTTATGATTTTGGAGCCTTCTGCTCGGTCTTCTTTGGTAAGAGTACTGCCTGAATGTTGGGCAGGACACCACCTTGTGCAATGGTCACTCCACTCAACAATTTGTTCAGCTCCTCGTCGTTTCTGATTGCAAGCTGCAAGTGTCGAGGGATGATTCTTGACTTCTTGTTGTCCCTGGCGGCATTGCCAGCCAACTCCAAGATTTCTGCCGAGAGATACTCGAGTACAGCTGCAAGATAGACGGGAGCCCCGATCCAACTCGTTCAGCGTAGTTTCCCTTTCTCAACAATCTATGGATACGTCCGACTGGGAACTGAAGACCAGCTCTGGATGTCCTCGACCTTGCCTTGGCCTTAGCTTTTCCACCTTTCCGCGTCCAGACATGTTTAACTCAAATTGAAAACGCAATGAAGCCTTGCCGTAGAATGAACAACTTTGTTCGCAACTGCCTGATTGCCCGCCAAAGTGTCGATTTGTAAAGGGCATTTACTCGAGATCTACCAATCAACACCCCGCTATCGACCGCGAACAATAAGCGAACACGAGACAGCGAATCGACGTGTGTCACATGGCCTTCGAGCTAATCACTCCAGCTGCACAAAATATACTAAAAGCTTGCATTGCGCCAAAAGACAATAAGAGCACTGTTGCTTTGTCTATCTATCGAAATTCTCGCAAGTGAAATTTAAATTTCTTCATTTCAAGCAAGATGTCTGACGCCCCAGCCAAAGGAGGAAAACAGGCCCCAAAGGTTGCCAAGAAGGGGAGAAGAAAGCAGGAGTTGGCAAGAAAGGGGGCAAGGCTGCCTCTGGAGATAAGAAGAGGTCGAAAAAGCGCAAGGAGAGCTACTCGATTTACATCTACAAGGTACTTAAGCAAGTCCATCCCGATACCGGCGTTTCAAGCAAGACATGAGCATCATGAACTCGTTTGTCAACGACATCTCGAAAGGATTGCTCAATGTTTGAATTCATTCAAAGCTACTCACTGTTTAAGCAAGTAGTTTTTATCATTTTATCAATTAGTTTATGTTTCTTTTCGAGTGGTAGGGGTACACTAGCATCCCAATTAATCATGCTCAACAGATGAGCACAAAGAAACCATACTAAACATTCAACAACAATAATCAAGCAGTCAATCAATTAAACCAGCAGCAAGTAATCAATCTCCTAAGAAGGGTTGATTGGTCCTGGGAAGCTATCCTTACATAGTTGAACCAAGATTTAAGGGCAAATAATTATGGTTGAAAATGAAAAAGAATAGACAGAAAAGGAATTATTTTCTTCAATTGATCAAAGTGAAACAACTCTTATTCAAGGGCAAATAATTATGGTTGATAATGAAAAAAGAATAGACAGAAAAGGAATTCTTTTCTTGGCCTGTTGGTAATCTTCCTGGTTATATTTCTTGCTGATGGTCATTAAAACTGAATTGACAAAGGGCTGGGCTATTTGTTGATGGTAGTAAGTTAAAGATGTATGAATCTTTTGCTTGGTTTTATAATGATGATAATGTATCTCATATGTCAACATATGTCAATGATCCACAAACACAACACTTATGAGAGAGGGATATGCACATTTTTACGGTGTCAAGTCAACGAGGGGTTTATCATTTATTTGTGTTCATGAAATGGAGATGTTTGGAGCCTACCTTCCTGGTAAGGACATCTTGCAGACTTATTATTATTATTATCTTGCAGATGAATTTGTTGGCATGCTTTTTCAAAAATCAACTTGATTGAGCTAGCTGCATCAATAGAATTTTACAAACTCCTATTATTATTTAGTAAACATAGTCCTGTTCGACTTCAGTGCATTTTTGCGCGACTTGACATTATACCGGCCGATTTTTTTAGTGGAATCTTGATTTATTGATTCAGTAGTTTCAATTAAGACTCTCTGTTAATCGTGTGCTGTCACATGGCTTAAAACATTGGGCAACTTTGGCATTTTTGGTAGCTTTTAAAAAAGCTGTTCGTGTTGTTGGTGAGGACGAGTCACTCCAGTTGTCTATCCTGTAACAGGACGACGACGACTTAACCGCCAAATCCGTACAGTGTTCGGCCCTGTCTCTTCAAAGCGTAGACGACATCCATGGCGGTGACAGTCTTTCGCTTGGCATGTTCTGTGTACGTGACTGCATCACGAATGACGTTCTCGAGGAAAACCTTGAGAACGCCTCGTGTCTCTTCGTAAATGAGGCCAGAGATTCTCTTTACTCCTCCACGACGAGCCAATCGGCGAATGGCTGGCTTGGTGATGCCTTGAATGTTGTCACGAAGAATCTTTCGATGACGTTTAGCACCTCCTTTGCCAAGACCCTTTCCTCCTTTTCCTCTTCCAGACATGATTGTTGAAAGTTGTGTTGTACGACAGCGAGCGACAATGCACGAGGCGACTGATTTCAATCTGACTCAACCGGCAAATACATCCAGGAGGAACTGCGGACCTATTAGGAGCACTCTCTTTATACTGCCATCTTTCTTGATGGCGCCTTTTAGTGCATAAGCAAACTATGTCCTAGCAGAGAAGGCGAGGGAAGGTACACTTGCCTCTTGAAATATGTCAATTCAGTGTTTTATTTGTCTGACTGCCAAAGAGAACTGGATAACAGCCACTAAAAACAACCATTATTTACGTAAACTCTTGCTATTGTTGCCATCAACCAGGATAACAAACCTCCCCAAGTCAAAGAGACAGTAATTTGCAACTGCTTGAATCCCTTTGAATTTGCTTTTTCTGCTTCCCTTTAGTTTTAAGAAATGGTATGAATCTTGTTCAGAAGATGCAATTGCAGCTCGCTCGAAACTTGGGATAATAAAGCAGCCAATGGGCGATGCATTCCTTGTCATTTCGCTTCTCCCGGCATGTCACGTGGCTTGCTCAAACATTTCAAATTGACCTCAAATGGCGCCGATTCGCAGATCGATTCGTTGTTCCTAGCTGCAAGGTAGTACCGTCATCGCTCAGTCACGTTCGCCCTTATTGAAATTTCTTCGTAGTGTCAAAATGGCTCGTACAAAGCAAACTGCAAGGAAATCAACTGGAGGAAAAGCTCCTCGCAAACAACTGGCCACCAAGGCTGCACGAAAGAGTGCCCCAGCAACTGGAGGTGTAAAAAAGCCACACAGATACAGGCCCGGAACAGTTGCTCTGAGAGAAATTCGTAGATACCAGAAGTCGACCGAGTTGTTGATCAGGAAACTGCCCTTCCAAAGACTCGTCCGAGAAATTGCCCAAGACTTCAAAACAGATCTGCGCTTTCAGAGCTCGGCGGTGATGGCCCTCCAAGAGGCATCTGAAGCTTACCTAGTTGGACTGTTTGAAGACACCAACTTGTGCGCCATTCATGCCAAACGTGTTACCATTATGCCAAAGGACATACAACTGGCCAGAAGGATTCGTGGAGAGAGAGCTTAATTCAACAAGCAAATTTCATCTTTGTCGATGAATTCTTTGAAAAAACGGTTTTTTTAAAAACCACCATAAACACCAGAGATTATATTTCCCCAACCTTAATACACACGACATGGTCGACTCAGATCAGTTCACTTCATATCTACATGTACTTTTAAAACTAACATGTAATATTAAGTTACATTGGTACATGCAAATAAATTACATTAGTAGTTTACTTACAAATAATTTACATTTAAAAATAATTTAATCTACTGGTAGTTACATTGTCACAAACTACCAGTAGTTAGTTGGTCATGTACTCTGTAGAATGGGAAAAATGAATCTCTTTTTCATAGTGCTAGACTGAATTCAAGAGCATACAATTTATATCATGTGCACAATATTTTCAATTTGTGCTAAGCCCACAATGTAATACATATGTATGTATTTAAAATGTTGAGGTCACAATAAATATGAAATATCATTTACTCTATCTTATTCTGAATTTAAAACCATTAGGAATTATTATACAACTGCTGGCAAATTTATTTCATGGCAATCTTTTTAGTCACCAAATATATGGTTTTTTCAGTGTTACCAAAAATCCCAATATATTGTGGGTTTGCCCCAAATGTTCAGCCACTGCAAGTGTCGGTATTAGATTTCAACATGTGTAAGGGAAAAACATTAGTTATAAAGTATCATTTGCTCATTTCCAGGCAATTTTTATTACAGTGTGCCAATCATAGAAATCTTAGCTACATCAACCATTAAATGTTTACATTGTATGACACACTCCTATACTCTCTACTTGATTCATATCACAATCAACCTCAAAATTTCAGCAATTTATGGCACTGAACATATTGCTTGATTGTAAATTGTAAATTAACTCTGATTGTAAAAGTAAGCTTTAAAATTTTCTTCAAAAGCAACCCAACAGGTAACCACAAGCTGGCTTCACAAGAATAGACTAAATCTTCAATAAACATGCTTATTATTAAGGTCATTACCCATCAAGAACCCCTTCTGTCTAACAATTCTTGATATAAGTTTGGCTGCAAAGAGGGCAATTGTTATTTCAGTTTTAATTTCTCTAGACAGTGTAAGATAAGATGATAAATTCGATTTCTGCTACCTTCATGATACTGTGTATTTTCAACTTTGTTCTCAATATAATTTACTAATAATGAAATGATGAATCCTTAGATCGACTTGGTAAATATTGAAGCTTGCATACTTCATCACCAAAAATATGTGATATATCCATGAGTTGTCTTTATTCTTTTTTATGCTGATCATAGTCACATAGCACATAAAGGACCTATACTGTCAAACTAGTCTTGAAATTACTTTGGATGTAAACTGGCAATTGTTATAACAATTTGCATTCTTAAAAGCTACTAATAATACTGTAAAAATATGAGTTGCTCCAGACTTTGCAGAAAAAATGTGTATCTTCTGCTAATTTTATGATAGTGTACAGTGGCAATTGTGCTTTCAAAATAGTTTACTATGCACATAACTTTAGCTGAAATGATAAATCCTGCTACCTATTTTGTAAATCATTTTGATGAAGGTACATCATAAAGAAAAAAGTGACAAATGCAGGTGACTGTGGGCCCACCAGCCTTGAAAACTCTACATTTAATTTCATGATATCAATGCAGCCGTCAAGGCTAATCAAGAACCGATGACCGACTTTTTGGTAGCTTTTAAAAAAGCTGTTTGTTTATATGGTAAACCAGGTGGTAAGTGGGAAACATGGCCCTCCTCCACTGATGCCATCTACTTCTTTGACTTTGCAGCCTTCACTTTCTTCCCAGCCGGTGACTTTGCTGTCTTTTTGCTGGCAGCCTTTTTGGGTTTGCTCTTACCAGCAGCTGATGCCTTCTTACCAGCAGCTATTTTAGGCTTCTTTGCCACTTTGGCCTTGGGCTTCTTTGGTGACTTGTTGGCTCCGCTGGCTTTCTTTGGTGTCGAGGCCTTCTTTTTTGCAGGGCTTTTCTTGACTGAAGTTGCAGCCTTCTTAGCAGTAGCCTTTTTCGCCGCTGCTGGCTTTTTCGCAACCTTCTTTGCTGCTGCTGGCTTTTTCACTGCTGCAGGCTTCTTGGCAGCGGCAGGCAGCTTGAACGAACCGGAAGCCCCTACCCCTTTCGTTTGGATGAGAAAGCCAGAAGCGACCAGTTTTTTCAAGGAGGCTTTCAGGTTTCTCTTCAGAGCGCTCTCATCACCGAGACCTTTGTAATTAGATTGTAAATACTTGGCAATTTTCTGTCGCGATGACCCATTTCGCTCCTTCAGAATTCTGATTGCTTCCGCGATCATGTCCTTATACGCAGGATGTGCGGCAGGCTTCTTGGGCGCTGCTGTCTTCTTCGCTTTCTTTGGTGATGTAGCAGACGAATCCATATCACTTTCGAACTAGTGCTCCAACAATAAAATGGTGTGCGACCTTCACAAAGATTCAAATTCAAAATAGCCTACCTTCCGTACGAACCTATAAGCACTTGCAGTTAGGCGCCAAAACACACGTGACCATCAAAATATTAGGCCAACATGGCTGTCAATTTTGTGCTTCTTGTCAAAACCTATTTGCCCGTCTACACCTAGCCGTGGCAAATACGATCTTGGCCGCATTCAAATCAGCAATATTATGGTCTTTAGTTTCATTATTATTCTTTGCCAAGGAGACTTTGGTGCCTATTGCAGCAAAATATTCGATATCAACTTGTATAGCTCAACATGCCATCAAACATTGTTTGATTATTTTCTTTTCCAATCGTCATAAAACCTCCCAGTACACATGCAAGGGCAGGTTTAAAAGGTCCATTAATTGATCGAACCAGCAAATTGCAGTTACCTTTTGTGATGACTATAAAAACGCTTAAATTGGGCCGAATTTGACTGCAAAAAGCACAGCACAATTTTCCCTCAACAAGTTGTTAAGTATTAATTTTTTACCCTTATGTTTGAAACATTGGGTAACGATGGAGGAAAAATTCCTATTCAAAAAGTTCCTTTAGAAAAGGAAGATGATTTATTTAAAGATATAGTTTTCCGGCAACTTTTGTGTCAGTAATAAACTGTGAAAGCTCATGATGAAGGGCAGAGCGGTGGTGGGGATAGGTAGAAAAATTGAAGAAAGAAGGCTGAGAAAATCTGCAAAGAAAACCAGACATCTTTTGAAATTTAGGACGAGCAGACTCTATAATTAGCAAGAAGCAGCCTATTTATTACATTTTCTCTGGCTATACCAACTCTTACCGAGGTGATCAGCGTACACGTCAATATATGAGGGCTGCATGTAGCATGTTTTCAGAACGACCAGATTTGAAAGTGGCCAAAAATATTTTGATTGAAGTAAGCTCGTAAAGAAAGATACATAATAGAAGAGAATTTTTAGAAAAGAAAGATAATTTTTAGCATAATAGAAGCATTGACATAGTAAAGGTACTTGGTGATGTGCCACAAGCAAGAGTATACTGTACTGACTTCTAGTCAAGTTAATACCCTGGAGAGGCAGGAGGGACAGAGGGGGCAAGTAGCGCCGTTGAGTATTTACTCCTAAGAAAATGAAATAAAGTTTTGTAGATAAATGATGACCAGCTTTGCCATTCTCATTGTGTTGATTTCAATTTGAAATACAAAATATGGAAAAATCTCCCTTTTGCTGTCGGTCATCGATTACGGCAAATTTTTTTCAGAAGAGGATAATAAACTTCAAACAGACAATCGAAGTCTTGCAGCCAGCCCCTTCTATTTATAACTGCCATGATTTTTGTACAACCAAAAATATGAATAATGACAAGGCGATTTAATAGCAACTTGCATGGACAATTTTGTCAACAGTATGCCTTTGTGTGGAAGAGCTTTTGATTGCAAAAAACCCCAGCTGTATGGGTCGATGCAATGTTTGTACAGATCCGTGCCAATATTTTAATTTTGCACACCCCTCCCCCCTGCCACCCCCTCAGCCCTAACAATTAATCGATTATGGTAGTGGAAAAATTCAACTATTTGCCTCAGCACCAACACTGCCCCTCCTGCCTTAATCTTTTGCAGGCGCCCCTGGCCAAGGGTGTAAGTCGTATTTGACAGTACTGGTCTAGGGAACTGCCTTTGAAAGTAGGAATCCCATCCTGACAACAACCCATTTTTGCTGAAAATAAACTAGTAAATGAAACTAACCGACCTTTCACATTCCTGAGCTCAAACCAACAATACTGAGATATCTGCTAAATCGAATATTCATTGGTTTGGTATAAGCTTATGGCCGGACAAATTGAAACTTGAATAATTAGAATGAAAACTTCAAAACTTTATATTATATATAAACTTTATATATCTAATAGATCTTACAAAAGATACATAACTTTTTGAGAAAATAGCTCTGGCTTTATTATTTCTACTTATAATATTTTCCATTTTTCATGCAAAAATTTTTCAGGTAAGATTTAATAAACACCACATTAAAAAGGGCTAAATCAGAGATAACTATTGAAAGCCCACAACTGTAAAAAAACAAAGGGGAAAATTTAAAATGCATATTTAAAATAGAATGCATATTGAAAAGAAAACTTTGATAAACGCTCACCAGGAGTAATAAGCATTCACTGGCAGTGTTTTTAATATGGGCCTACTCGTTGGTGTAAGCCCGGGACAGGGGACTTGTGGGGGTATTCTAAATGAGTTTCGTTTCGGTTTATCTGAGTTTCGAATTTCCAATGAATAGATAGCATTTGCCATTGATTGGAATCAGGCATTGAAAAATATTGCAGCATGTTAGGCTGGGGGTTCATTCTATTTGGCGGGGTTTTCACCATTTTGGAAGCCAATGTGGGGGGTTTATTCGTGGCTTTACTGTTCATGAAAAACCAAGAGCCAATGTTAACAAATGACTGTTGAATGTAGAATATTTTAAGAAAATGTTTCATATTTGATATTTTCAGGAAATATTTCATATTTTGAAGGATGTCTTCAAAGAGATGTATTTTTTGAATGTTTACCTACAG